GGGGGAATGGATGAGGGTGCTGACAACACAGTGGTCAGTGACAGGGATGGCAGAGTATGGAGGCTCTAGTGGGAGAGGAAGGCTGTCTACCTGATGAGTTTGTATTCATGCTCAGATGCCGAGGAGCTCAGAAGGTGGGCGACTGTGACCAGTGATAGTCATGTATATAGAGATTAGAAATGCATGTGAAAACGTCTCAATGTCAATTGCCTTGGAATGAATTCTTCTGTATGAAAAAAAAAAAAGTATCTTCTTGAAGTCCCTCAAATTAAGGTAAAGAATAAGAACATGTGTGCCTGATGAGTGTGGAGGCCAGAAGAGTGTGTCAGATCCCCTGGAACTGGAGTTACAGATGATTGTGAGCCACCATGTGGGTATTGGGAAGCAAACCCAGGTCCTCTACAAGAGCAACCAGTACTCTTAATGGCTGAGCCATCTCTCTAGTTCCCCAACAGTACTTTTTCCTTGAACTTCTGATCTCCCAGCCTCTGTCTCCAATGTGCTCGGATTACAGGCATGCCCCACTACACCCAGTTTTATGTGATGCTAAGGATCCAACCCAGGGCTTCCTGTATGTGAGGCACGCACTCTACCATTGAGCATATCTCTAGCCCCCAAAAGAATTTCTCATTCAGTACAAACCTTAGTCTGTCTCCCTCTTTCCCTAGTCCAGCTTGTCAGCTCTCTGAGAGCAGGTCTCACCCAACTCATTTCAGGTTCTCTGCCTAATTCTAATGTTGCATTGACCACATTGAGTTCTGGGATTCTCTTGCCTTCACTACCTCATCTCTCTGGTGGTGCCCAGGACTCAGGAAGCTGGTTTGTTCTGTGTTGCTGGGAAACCAACCTGAGCACCAGATTCTTTAATCCTGTGACAGTGGGATTCCCTGACTGTGACAGCATCACTTCCAAGAATAGAAGCAAAAGGCTTTCTCACCAGAAAAAGAAGCACTCGTTTTTCACCATCTCTTTGGAAAAAGAGCAGGGACTAGGCAGAGGCCACCCAAACCCAGTACTGTTCCTTGGGGGATTCAGATTCCCTGCTCCTCCCCACATCAGCCTCTTCCCAGCCCTGGGGGCTTGGGTAAGGCTCCTTTGCTCAATCCAAATAGGGTCTCAAGGTAAAAGCCTCAAGACCTCAGTTTTAGATCCCTGGTAATGGATTGGAATTCTCAGACTAGTGTCACTAAAAAGGCTGTTACAGATCATCTAGTTCCATAACTATCTCCTTATTTCCTCCACTAAGGGACAAACAAAAACTAAGGCCAAAAGCGAAACCACAAAAGAGGGCCCTGCTCCAGGGCTGGAGAGATGGCTCAGCGGTTAAGAACACTGTTCTTGAAGAAGACCTGGGTTTGAATCCCAGCACCTACATGGCAGCAAACACCTGTAACTCCAGTTTCAGGGGATCTGACAGCCTCTTCTGTCCTCTGCAGGCATTGCACAACATGGATGCACTTACCTGCAGGCAATACATGCATACACATAAAATAAAAATAATAGATGCAAATTTTTTTTTTTGGTCTTTTTGAGACAGGGTCTCCCTGTAGCCCCAGCTGTCCTGGAACTCACTATGTAGATCAGGCTGGCCTTGAACTCACAGAGATCCACCTGCCTCTGCCTCCCAAGTGCTGGGATTAAAGGCGTGCGTCACCACGCCTGGCTAATAAAATTTTTTTTTAATTACAAAAAAAAGAGGGCCCATCCCAGCACTCGGGAGGCAGAGGCAGGCGGATCTCTGTGAGTTCCAGGACAGCTGGGGCTACAGGGAGACCCTGTCTCAAAAAGACCGAAAAAAAAAAAAAAAAAAAAAAAAAAAAAAAAGAGGGCCATCATCAGAAAGAGAGACTGGATTTGAACTCATGTCTTTTTCTCCTCCTTGTCTAATGCTTTTTCCCAAACTGCACCATGGAGGTGGGCTGGAGGTTGTCCTAGCAACAACTCTCTGGGTGGGAGGGGAGGTTGCCATTGTTTGTCATTCTACACATCTCAGACTCTGGCTCTCCATTCAACTTCTGACTTGGGGAGCAAAGCTAGAGTAGGAGTGAAAACACAGGTCTGACCTTGGCCTGAAGGGTAAGCCTGCTTCTGCCTGTATACAAGGAGAGCAACAAATGAAGGACAGTCTTTAGAGAGCTTGGGTCAGTTCTTCCTCCCCAGCGTCAAACGCCTCCCTTGCCTTTTGTCATTCTAGGGTACAACCAGTGGGCAGAACAGGAGGCAAAAAGAGCTCAGTGACATCCTGGCCTGAGGAGCGACGAAAGAGCATGGGAGGGATTTTCTCCTTGTTCTGGTTCCCAAAACACTTCTTCACGGGCAACCTCAGACTCCATGCCAGATGGGTCAAAAATAGAGACAAAAATCAGATGTTAAATGTACTCTCTCAAATTTTATAGAGAATTAGAGCCAAAGATTTGGAATACCTTCAGATTCCCTGTATGAGTACAGGCAAGTCCTTGAACATCTGACAAGTTTTCTCATTTCAGCGACATAAAATGTGTTTAAAGTGCCTGGCACAGGGGCTGGAGAGATGGCTCAGCGGTTAAGAACGTTGGCTGCTCTTGCAGAGGACCCAGGTTGGTTTCCAGCCCTAACAACTGTGTGTAACTCCAGTTCCAGGGAATCCAATGGCCCTCTTCTGACCTCCTCGAACACTGCATGACATGGTGCACTTATATACATGCAGGCAATACACTCGTACACAAAAAATAATAAAACTTGTCTGGCGTGGTGGCACACGCCTTTAATCCCAGCACTTGGGAGGCAGAGGCAGGCAGATCTCTGTGAGTTCAAGGCCAGCCTGGTCTACATAGTGAGCTCCAGGCCAGCTGGGGCTACAGGGAGACCCTATCTCAAGACGACAAAAAAAAGTAGACCAGGCTGGCCTTAAACTCACCTCCCAAGTGCTGTGACTAAAGGCATGTGCCACCACATCCAGCATAATAAAATTTTTTTTAAATTAAGTGCCTGGCACAAAGCAGGTCTCCATAGTAAATGTGTACAATGAGGTCAGATGATCTGGGCTCCAATCTTGACTTTGCTTTTCACTTTTTTGAATGACCTTGGGGTAACTGCTTAACTTCTGTGCCTTATTTACTTCTATCTATAAAATATCACTCATCTAGCTGAAGGAATTAAGGGGATAGCATGTAAGACAAAGGGTACAGCTCAATTGTAGAGTACTAGCCTAGCATGTGCAAGGTCCTGGGTTCAGTCTCAGCTCCTCAAAGGAAAAAAAAAATTGTTTAACATGCTCAGCATGATACACATCATATATCCTCAGTGTAATTTAATTTTCAGCTGGGTATGGTGGCACATGCCTATAATCCCGCCATTCAAGTGCCTGAGAGAGGAAGAATATGATTTGGGGGGCCAGCCTGGGCTAAATAGTGAGCCAATGTCTCAAAAATAAAAGTCAGTTTTTGAGCACTTTGTACAATAAAGCAAAACCAGGTCCCTTTCAGAAGTTAGTATAGTCACAGTCCTGCTCTGAAGAATCTGGCACTCAACTACAACCTTCATGGCCAAGTGCACATTTGGCATTCAAATACTGGCCCCTCCCTGTTGGCTCAGCCCAGAAGTCTCTCCTGGACTCTCCTATCACAGAAAGAGAGCTCTGGGCTGGCCTGGGTGGTCCCATAATCCTCCCCCCACCCTCCCAGATCTGCTTGGCACAGAGTTGGGTGCACAGTGAGGCTCCAGGAAGATTTACTAGCTGACATACTGTGGGCTCCTGGTCCTGAGCCAGGACTAGCTGGCAATTCCTCAATTCCTCAGAACTGACTGCAAAGTGGTGGCAGGTGTAAACCACCTCTTTCACCGGAACCAGGGCCCTGGGGAGCCTCCTGAGGCCCTGGTTGCCCTCTGGCTCAGAATCTAGACCAAGAGCTCCAGAGAAGAGGGAGGGCTGTTATTCCTTCCTCTTCTCCCCAAGAAGGTACAGGTGAGATCCTCTGAGGCCTGAAAAGAAGAGACTGAGTCCCCGGTGAAGGACCAACGCTGATGGTGTGGCTACTGTCTCTGTTAAAAGCTTAGAACATTCAAGTATTTTAAGCGGTTGCTGGTGGGATGTTGAGAAAAGGGAGATGTTTTTGTTTGCCCCTCGTTCAGGCAATTTTCAGCCAGTATTACCTCACTTAATCTCTTCTGTGCTGAATCCTGACCTGAACATTCTGGGGCCTCACAGGAACAAAATCCCAGTTTGCAGGAAGAGGGAAAAAAAAAGATCAGTTGCCTTATAGGGGTCTGGGGAAATAGGTGGTCCCGGATGCGCTGTACTGGGTAGGTTCTTAGTACTCGCCTCTTCTCCGACTATCTAGCATGAAAAACTTCCAAGAGCTTGTGCCTCCTACTCATAGTCCTCAGGACCCATCAACCCTTCACTCACCCTTGAGAGACGATTAATGGGACGTCACTTCGCTCCACTTCCAACCCGGGGTTTATGGATTGATCTGGGAGGGATCCCGAGGAGTTAGGTGGAGTTTTAACTCCCTCCTCTCCAGGCTAACTCGGGACAGAGCCTGTCCCTTCTAGGGCCCTCTGGGGACTCTGTCCCCGCCCCCGGCCCGCAGCGCCCACACTCACCAGCTCCATCCTCAGCGCCATGATCTTGTCCCCCAGGCCGTGGCCGGTGTTCGGCGCCCCCGGGAGCAGCAGGTTCACGGAGGTTCCCAGCTCCCACTCGCCCCGCAGCCCGCGCAGCAGCCCTTCGGGGGTCTTCCTGCCCACCTTGCCCTCTACGTCTCGCAAGTCGGGCGTCTGAGACTCCACGGTCCCCTCCATGCGGGCCCAAGCCAGAGCAGGGCTGGGCGACTGGACGCGGGGTCCCGGTCCGGAGGGTCCTCCTTAATCGCCGCTAACGCCCTCGTAGCGCGGGGGCAGGAGGACGACGCCGTAAGGCTCAGAGAAGCCGCGCAGTCCAGCAGAGAGATATATATCCGAGTGCTGCGCACACGAGTTCTCGCCATGGATGGCTGGGACTGCAGCCTGGATTTGGACCTGAAAGAGCCCTCAGAGAGCTCAGGGCCTTCTCCCTACACTGGCACTGGCTCCGGCTAGGAGCACAGCAAGCACCCAATAAGTGCTGAATGAAGAGTAGGCAGCCTCAGCCCTGTGTGAGTTTAAGTGGTCACAGAAGGTTCTGAAGGCTTTCTGCTGATACGCCAGTCAAAAAACGGTGACTAGAATATAGCCACTCATACACACCTCGCAATGGCTAGAAATCAGACTGAAGGAGACTGAGGCCAACTCCCCTGGTCAGTAAGAAGCAACCAGTATTAAAGTTGAAGGGGTCCACACGGACGTGATCTTGCATGGGCTTGCAAGGGAGATGCTTCCTAAGCTAGACTGTGAGTATGGGTCATCTGCAAACCTTGTGAAGTGGGTATCGAGACTTTTTTTTTTTTTTTTTTTTTCTGGTCTTTTTGAGACAGGGTCTCCCTGTAGCTCCAGCTGCCTGGAAGTCAGTCTGTAGACTAGGCTGGCCTCAAACTCACAGAGGATCCGCCTGCTCTGCCTTCTGAGTGCTGGGATTAAAGGCATGTACTACCATGCTTGGCTAGATTTATTTTTATTTATTTATTTATTTTGACTATTTTTTAGTTTATGTGTATGAGTGTATTGCCTGCATGTATGTGAGTGTACCCATGTCGAGCAATCCTGTGGAAATCAGAAAAGGGTGTTGGATCCCCTGGAACTGAAGTTACAGACGGTGCTGGGATTTGAACCTGGGTCTTCTGCAAGAGCAGCTAGTGCTCTCAACTGCTGAGTCATCTCTTCAGCCCTGATTCTTTTCTTGTTTATTTGTTTTTATAATGTGTGTGTGTGTATGTGTGTGTGTGTGTGTGTGTGTGCATTTATTTTTATTTTATGTGTATGTGTGTATTGCCTGCACGTAGATAAGTACACCTGTGTTGTGCAATGCCCACAGAGGACAGAAGAGGCTGTTGGAGCCCCTGGGACTGGAGTTACAGACAGTTGTTCGCTGCCATGTGGGTGCTGGGATATGAACCTGGGTCTTCTGCAAGAACAACCAGTGTTCTTAACTGCTGAGCCATCTCTCCAGCCCTGGTTCTATGTTTCTAGAAAGCACCGAGGGATGGCCAGACTGCTGGGCCAGACTGGGTCCACACTGAGTAACAAGGATATATTTCTAAGGTGTTTGGACTTGATTCTACAGGTAGAAAAGAGCCATGAAAAACTGTTGTTTTATTTGGACTTTTAATCCAAGTATGTCTAGCTCATGGTTACGGAAGGATTTGCAATGAAAAAACTCCCTTTCCCTGTAACCTCTTACACCTCTAGGTCCACTTCCCAGAGGCAACCAATTTCACTTTTTTTTTTTAAGTGTTTAACCACTCATAATTCTAGATTTTATTTTTTATTCTTTAAATGGAAATCTGCATTGAGTATAGGTGCTGCAGAGATCGAAAGAGGGCCTGGGATCCTCTAGAGCTGGAGTTACTGATGGTCGTGAGCCACCTGACCTAGGTGCTGGGAACCAAACTTGGATCCTACCGCAAGAGCAGTATGTGCTCTTCTTAACTGCTGAGCCATCTCTGCAGCCTAACCAGTCATAATTTTAAACACTTTTAACACTCCTTTTTAAATTTTAACATCATATACTGACTTCCCATGGATAGATTTTGAGACAGAGTCTCTGTATCCAGGGTTGACCTCAAGCTTAATATGTAGCTGAGGATGACCTTGAACATCTTATCCTCCTGCCTCTGTCTCCCAGGTGCTGGTATTATAGGTGTGCACTCAGCCCTCTTTAACATTTCTTGACCCTTGGAAGGTTTTTAAACCAGATATTGACAACACATTTGTCTTTTTGAAAAATTACTCTAGTGGCACACGCCTTTCATCCCAACACTCCAGAAGCAGAAGCAGGAGGAATCTCTGTGAGTTGAGGCCATCCTGGTCCACAGAGTAAGTTCCAGGGCAGCTAAGGCTACAGGGAGACCCTGTCTGAAAAAGACCCCCCCCAAAAAAATTACTCTAGACTTTGCAAAAGGAAGATTGGAGGAATGGAGGAATAAAACTCTAGAGTCAGGGCTGGAGAGATGGCTCAGTGGTTAAGAGCACTGCTCTTGCAGAGGACCCGGGTTCGATTCCCAGCACCCACATGGCGGCTAAGAACTGTCCTTAACTCCAGTTCCAGGGAAATCTGAAGCCCTCTTCTGACCTCCATGGCATTGCACGACATGGGTACACTCACATACATGCAGGCAATACACTCATACACATAAAATAAAAATAATGAATAAAATATTTAAAAAAAAACAAAAGTCCAAAGTCAAGGCAACTAGTTGGAAGTCAAGAATTGAAAGTGAGCCAGGCATGGTGGCACACACCTTTAGTCCCAGAACTTGGGAGGCAGATCTCTGGGAGATCGAGAAATTAAGGCCAGCCTGGTCTACCTAATGAGTTCCAGGCCCAACTGGAGCTACAGGGAGAGTCTGTCTCAAAAAAGACAGGAAAGGAAAAAAAGAAAGAAAGAAGAGGAAGGAAGGAAGGAAGGAAGGAGGGAGGGAGGGAAGAAGGAAGGAAGGAAGGAAGGAAGGAAGGAAGGAAGGAAGGAAGGAAGGAAGGAAACTGAAGGTGGGGGTGGAGAGATGACTCAGCAATTAAGAGATGGCAGAGGACCCAAATTTGGTTCCCACATGGTAGCTAACAACTCTCCATAACTATAGTTCCAGGGGGTCTGACGCCCTCTTCTGGCCTCCATAGACACTGCATGACAGGGGTGCACTTACATACAGGCAGGCAAACACTATACACATAAACTAAAAAATAGCCCAGCGTGGTGGTACATGCCTTTAATCCCAGCACTCAGGAGGCAAAGGCAGGTGAATCTCTGTGAGAGTGAGGCCAGCCTGGTCTACATAGTGAGTTCCAGGTCAGGTGGGGCTATAGGGAGCTCTGTCTCAAAAAAAGACCAAAAAAAA